CTCCCTTCCCATTGCCAAAAAACCCCCAAAAAACTGAGTCTGGCCCCTCGCTGGCAAGCCGTGTGACCTCTGTCCGCCACCTGCTGTGTGTCTGGTGACACCATCATCCTGGGTTAGCATTGATGGTGTCACCAGTGCGGCAGAAATCAGGAAAGTAAACACTGGAGAGCAACATGTAAGGAAACCAGGGCATAGTCAGTGTACATTATTGTTTCGCCGATTGTTCCTGGGTTTAAAGGGGTATTTTGGCCAGAGGGAATGGGCTACAAAACGCTCCTCTCAACTGATACATACACATCCTCCTTAGTAAACATAATTTATACTAGAACAGCTTAAGCCATTTTTGAAAGTGAATTTAAGTGCCATTAATGATTACATACACATGGATGCATGCGTTGTTCATTGCATGCATCTAGTGGGTAATAACTTTCATATCTTTAACAATTTCATACTCTCTAGTTGTCACCAGTAATCTTCCACCTGTGGACATGAGCATTTGCCAATCATAAAATTTATGTTGGCTTGTGCACACCTGTCAGTTTATTGATATCAAAACTTACTATACCTTTCTTTCTTTTTTTCTTTGTTTCTTTCAACCATGAGTTGATGTGACTTTAGACCAGTCACCAGGCTCGGAGTGGGAACTATTTTCAGCATTTTTCCATCTACACCGGCCCACTTATGCCCCCTCCCTGAAAAAAAGTAGAAGCACAGTCAAACGCGTGCGTCTCAAATGTGAAACACAATACAAATACACATTGTGGATTAACCGATCTATCTTCATGCATCACATGACAACCATCACCAAGACTTCTATAATGCGGTTTTTGGATTTGGTTATTAACACGGACGCTACAGTGACTTCTGCTGGGTAACGTCCAGTAAGGTTGCCAGATGTCACTGACTTACGTTTTCCAGCCCAAAAAATTTTCATAAACCGCCTGGATTTACGAAATCTCACCCAATTTGAACCATAGTCTATTGATCTCTTAGGCCATAAATCTAAAGAAAAAGATTTTTTACCCATAGACGGCCTTCCTAAACTGACAGCTTGGGATGTTTCCCAACCTGGCAACAATGCACGTAAGACGGGAAACGTTAGCCTTAAGATGCAAAACCCCATCATGCACAGGAACATGTTTTTGCAAAATATTCTAACATAAATTTGCCAAATATAAAAGGAACATCATAGTTCAGTTTGAAGAAAGTATTTTAGTTTTATTATAATTTAGTTTGTTGCAAGGATTTTACAGTTTGAACAAATAGAAAATGACACCATATGCCAACCGTCACACGGATGTGCATGACAAGGAATGGCTATATATACTGCATGCATCATTTAGGTATTTAACATTGCATTACTTCTTGAGCTCCTCGAGTTATTTACTGTGACAGGTAGTTGCTTCAACCGGAGACTAAGTGTTGGGGCCGGTATGGTTTAAGGAGGGCCGGCCTTTGCATGCTGAAATTAGGACCGGCGCACCGGACAAATGCCTGTTATCACAGATTACCAGTCTGGGATTACCAGATTACCAGTCCGACCGTGCTTTAGACAAATGTGGTGGTAAAGAAACAAAGCATATGGGATTTTTTCACGCCTCATAATCAGGGCTGGAGAGAGACTATAGATTTGGAATGAAAGTGAGCTGAGAATAAAGCCCTGAGTAACAGCTAAGGACAGGATATGCTTGGAATTCATAATTATCAAATGACACAAGTTCATTATTTAGACCTCTCTTTAGGCCTCTCTTTGACAGAGCCGACCGCCGGCTGTTTGTGACTGATGGCAGCATAAATACAATGAAATTCAATCTGAACCCTGCGGTGGGTCTATATTTGTACACCCACAGAGTTCACTAGGATGCATTGACTTTTTGCCACTCGCTGCACACATCATTTCTGTCCACTCTGCACTTCTGCTGTTCCAGGTTTTTTTTTCTTTTTTTGTTTTTTCTTTATGCCCCCCTGAGTTGCCGGAACGTTTTTTGGATTCTTGAGCTTTTTTGGAAAAGGACAGAGTTTAGGATTCCAGTATTCATTCTCCCTCAGGCGAAGCTGCATGCGTCTGTGTGTGTTTAGGTTGAATTCCAAGCGCAGACAATTTACTGATTTGGTTGGAATGTGTGTGTGTGTGTGTGTGTGTGTGTGTGTGTGTGTGTGTGTGTGTGTGTGTGTGTGTGTGTGTGTGTGTGTGTGTGTGTGTGTGTGTGTGTGTGTGTGTGTGTGTGTGTGTGTGTGTGTGTGTGTGTGTGTGTGTGTTACCCGCAGGGTTCTGGAGTCAGAGACGGAGACCAAAAAAAAAAAACATAAACCTCGAACTAAACAGATTATTCATCATTTCTCTGTTGGAATGATCCTTTTTCTTTTTTTTCTTCTGCTGATTATCTGTATTTTTCACCTCTTCAGACCTTTGCATGGATGTCTCCGGCTCTGTGTGCATTTGTTGCACAGTTTGATTCTTCCAGGAACCTGTTATTAAACCATTTGCCAGGGGAACTTGCTGCCATGCAAAATGTTACCGGACTCCCCAGTAACACGGTGCTGAAATTTGTCTGAGTTTCCTCACCAAACATCGGGCTCATTTCAAACAAAACAAAACGGATAGCATGTCAGTCATTTTGTTAAGCCGGTCTGCGTCTCTGCCATGAACTTTCTTTATTGGGTAACTTGAGCTGGTCTCAGGGTTTTGCCTGGCTGGTTGTGGAGAGTTTGTAATTTACTGACTATTAAAATCCTGTTAGAAAACTTTATCAGAAAAGAATGATGGGCTTGTTCTGTGCATCCCTTTTTACCCTAGAACAGATCAGTTTATTGAAAGGTACCAGGATGGATTAAAACATGGTAAAGCTGTTAAGGAGCTTGGCTGACATTTACTCCTTCAGAAATTCACCCAAACTGTTTTTGCTGGCATCACTACGCATAGTTAGATGTGTTGCTCTTCTCTTTGCTCCTGCATTTTCAGTCCCCTGCAAAAGTACTTACATGTTTTCAGATTTCTGTCACATAACCTCCCCAAACCTATATAAATGGGTTTTTATCTCATTTGCCAAAACAAAACTGTGCATAATTGTGAGGTGAAAGGAAACTGATAAACAGCCTTCAACTTTTACATCTGGGAAGTTTGACAAGCTTGCATTTGAAGCCCCGTTTTAAAGACACCTTGAAATGAAATTGGACCAATCTTCAGTTGGTCTAAGAAGGCTTTAGAGGTTATGGAAATTTGTTCTCCATGGATGAGTGTAAAGAAGAAAGAAAACTGTTGCAAGTCCGGGTCAGAGTTTTTAACACAACTTGTAGAAGATACAGCAGATACGTTACAGGGCTCGATGTTAACCATTGCCCGATCGCCCTGGGCAAGTAGTTTTTATTGTTGGGAGAGTACAAATTTCATTGCATTTGCCCGCAGGGCAAGTGCAATGATCACAAAAATATATATATATATAATTAACCCTCAAAATTACTTTAAAATCACCAACATTTGCTGAAACCGACCCACAATCGTTGCCTGCGCCATTTTTGTTGTTTTGTACACATTCTTGCGTGATTTTAAAAAGCCGCGTGATTTCAAAAAGCTGCGTGATTATCCACCAGATGGCGTGATTTTTGTCCGGGGATTTTTGTCTTGATTTTTGACTTGGCAGGCTAAAAAACAACAACAAGGCTATTTTACCTTCAACCCATTTCACCCAGCACCCAGATAACCCTAGATTAAACATTATCGGTCAGGTATTAGGAAAATTGGCATAATTGTATGCCATGCCCACAGTTTAAATATGGCTAACATATGGCAGTCTTCTGTACAGTGATGCAGGCCATACACTAAAAAATTTTCATTCATTTTTTTTCCTTAGACATTGGAGAGGTGCATTTAAATGTTATAGAGCTAAACATGTTAAATTGGTGACCTGTTATGTTATTGTCTTGTTGCTGCATTTATTTTGTCAGGGAAAACTAGTCCATAGTCAGTTAAAAGTCAGGGAAATCTGAAATGATGCAAGACAGAGGAAACCCTGTATAAAATAACTATGTATAATGATTCTCTAGAAAAGTCACATTATATTAATAGTATCATCTTGTATAAACATACCGTGACTCTAAAATAAAAGTTATTCATTTCTGACATCTGTGACTTCAGTCTCGTTTTTAACCTGTCAAGTTTTTTTTTTTTGATTTTTAACATTACAATTTATATTTTTCCAAGCACACAACAGTTTAAAGCAAAGTTTAGTTTGAAAAGAATGTGCAGGAAGGATTGAAAAGCATGTTAACACAGTAATGTAGGCTTGAGTTCATTATCTGACGCATGCATATACACACAAGGAACCTGTAAACTTAAAAAATACTGAATTACAAAAAACATTAAAAAACAAACATGTTTCATTGATATATATACAAAAATGAATATTAGGAACTATATTTATCAAACATTATACTGGGCAAGTAAAAATTGTTTCTGGGCAAATGAAATGTGAAAGTCACTTGCCCAAAGGGCAAGTGGTAAAAATCCTTAACGTCAACCCCTGCATTAAGTAAGGGTCTCAGATGAGATAAAAAAGGAACCTTTTTGGCTAAAATACATCTGCAGCATTCATAAAAGGAACTAAGACTAGTTTGTATCACCCTGAACATGTTGTGTCCATGGTGAAACACAGGTAGCACAGTCATCTAGCACATACATCATATCTGTTCACTTAAAAAAAAAAAAAAGGTTATTTTCAAATTAATCTGCAGCAGCAGTTTTTTTTTTACGTAGTTATGGTAAATTTTCCACATGTCTTTCATGTACTTTTATTAAATCACTTTAGGAAATTAAAAAAATATAGATAAGTATCATGTATCGCTGTTATGCCCATAAATATCAATATTATTTTTGGTCCATATCACACAGATCTACTATTACATAACAGTGGAATAGAAAACATTTACTCCATGCCTGGTCTGTACACAGAAGTGGGAACCCCAGTAAGATGCTTTGATCACAGATGTCTCTTTGTCTGCAGTTCCACAGAGATAGACGACATGATCCGCAAGTCGACCAACTTGTTGCTGACCAGAACCCTGAGTAACAGTCTTCATTACGCCATCAAGAAGAAGAATGTGGGCCTGGCGGAGGTAAAGGACAACGTCCACCTGGTTAAGAATGACATGTATACCTCTCATCATCTTTGGCTCTTTATCCATGAAAAAAACACAAGCTTTACCCAATCTGTTGGGTAAAAAAAAAAAAAGGAAATATTTTTCCTTCTTTCCAAAATTGATGTGCACTGGATAAGACAAGATGATGGCTGAGGATGGACATTTTCACGGCAGAATGATTTTACTTTAGATTTGCTCCTAAAACTGAGCCTCCTTTAGCTCTTATTGTGGTGCTGCGTTAATCTTTTTCTTACTCTACTTCCTGACTGCTGTTTGTCTGTTTGTACAGTTGGTGCAGGTGATCATTAACACCACCCACCTGGAGCAGAGTTGCCATTTCCTGGAGGAGTTCATAACCAACATAACGAATGTTCCCCCTGACATGGTGAACGCCACCAAGCTCTACGGGACCTCAACATTCAAGGTAAGTGCACTTCTAGCTTTCCTTTCTTCTTTCTTTTTTAGCTGCATTTCTCTGAAAAAACACAAACAAAACCACAATCTAACAACTTTTTTTCCCCCTGTGTGCAAAGCATATATATTTATGTGTTTCCTGAAACGGTCTTTAAATGTATGCACTGGAAACTCTCTGTCCCAATACAGGATGCCCGGCATGCAGCTGAGGCAGAGATCTACACCAGCCTGAACGCTAAGATTGACCAGTTCCTGCAGCTGGCTGATTATGACTGGATGTCGCCCGCTCAAGGAAGCGGGAATCTAACCACCAGCGACTACCTGGTTGACCTGATCGCATTTCTACGGAGCACGTTTAGCGTCTTCACCAACCTGCCGGTTAGTACCCCCACACATAATACATTAGTGCAGCACATTTATTTGATAAACTTCCCATGTAGGAATTTTGCAGAACAAACAAATATTCTTCTAAAAACTTACTTTCTTTCAAAGATGACAGATTTAATACATTTTTAGTGGGTGATCAGTCGGTCATCAGAGTTTCTATAAAATTCTGTTTGCTTTCTTTGCTCACCTAAGAAAAGAGCTGCTTGTCAATAATAAAATGTATCTATTAATTGTTTTAAATCCCTAAAACGACCTAAGTTATGTCCTGCAGCTAATTGTAGTTAAGAAAACCATCGATTCAGTGAGTTTTAATTAGCCAAGCATAAAAATGTGAACTGATCATATGATGAATTCACTAGAAAAAATCGAAACCTAGATAAGTCATTTTTTCTTTAAATAAGCGCATTTATTCTTGGATAAAGGGGGTAAAAGAGACATTTTGCTAATGGAACAAGACAAATTACATTTAAAATAAGAAAAAACAAGGGCATTGTCTTTTTTCAAGTGCATAATATCTAATTATTTCATTTTAAAATGCTCATTCCATTGGCAAATCTCATATACCTAGTCAAATGAAGGGTAAAATCACTTAATTTAAGATATTTTTTCTTATTTCTATATAGTTTATGCAGCGGCTTTATCAAATCCAAAAAATACAGCCTAAACCATCAAGCAGATCTCAATAACATGGCCACCCGAGTCACTAAAGCATACAGAGTGATTATATACAGCATTAGTGCTGGGTAAGCTTCAAAACCAGATTAATGTATTTGCTTTCTATAATATCTAACAAGTGGAAAAATTGGGATAGAAATCATTTTCACGACTAAAACTGGAAGAGACACTTTTGAGGAACAGCCTTTAACCTTTGAGGAGTTCTGTTTGGTTTGAAAGCGCCTCGTCGTGTCAGCATAGCACATCACAGGGCTGAACAATCTGCTTTAGTTCGTTAGTGTCGGCTGCTTACAGATTAGATCGTTAACACGGGGCTACGCTGAGATGATTAAAGGGTGAGCCGCTCGGGTCAGCAGCTGCGGATTATCCATAGGCTCAGGCTATTGACACTAAAGCCCCAACTGTAATCACCTTACTCTTGAGTCAGGATGCCGTAGTGCAACATTTGCAGCTCGTAGAGCGTGTTTCACAGTGCAGCTGGGGAAATCATTAGATCCTGTTAATTCAGAACGCCTTAAAGCATTAAAGCAGCGGTGCTTTTTAATAAAAGGCCACTGCTCTAATTAGGTTATTCCAAGGATCTTTAATGAACTCTTTGTGACCCGTTTTTATCTGTAATGTATAAATTTCCCAATAGTGTCTTTGTTACGGTAAATGCCTGAGCAAGTTTCATTTAGTTTGTACTTTTGATTAGATTTTTTTTTTTTTTTATCAATTAAACGTTAACATCAGTATAAATCTTAATCATTTATTGATTTATAATGTGAAACCCATCAGTGAGAGTGGGGCGATATTAATGTTTGTTGGTTATTTTCGGCTTGTTGGTGTTTGTCTGTTTCATATTGGGATTAAATTGAAAAAAAAAACCAATAACATTTTTTTTGTTATGATTTGAAGAATGTTGCTTATGATTTAAATCCCTGATTTAAGAGCTTAAAAAATAAATAAAATTAAGTCAGTTGTATTTAAAAGTTTATCAATGTAAATAATGTTTTATATTGATCACAGATTAATAAAAATCATATCACAATCATCATGCTCTCATCCAAACATCTGTCTATCTATCTACCGACCGACCGACCGACCGACCGGTCCGTCTGTAATTTTCGGACTGCAACCTTTTCCCCATTTTTCAACCTTGCGGCTTTTATAACAATGCGGCTTATCTATGGACTTTTACAACTAACGGCCACTAGCGTAATACCTAAATTTATCGATTTTACTATCCACCATGTTGACGTCACATTTGCTTCAACACACAAGTACGGTACACGCTTGGGGGGAATGCGGAGGTCCTCTGGAAGCAGACTTCTACCGCGAGTGGTACGAGACAGAACGACTGCGAGAAAGACGGACATTAAACATAAAAAAACCTGCGGCTTATAGTCCGGTGCGGCTTGTATATGTACAAATCATGCAATTTAGCTTCTGCGGCTTATATTCAGGTGTGGCTAATAGTCCGAAAATTACTGTGTCTTTCTGTCTCTCTGTCTTTCTATGCTAATATATCTGCAGTATTGATATCGATGTAAGCTCAAAACTCTTTAAAAAAAAAGCAATCACAGTTAAAGCCTAAACTTCTTGATTTGTATAATTTTTGCGATGGTATTATTGATAAATCTGATGAATATTTAGTAAATTATTAAATATTGTTGATAGCAGCAAAAAAAAATCACAAGGAACTGGGAGAAGTGTATTTCACCATCAAAATAGCAATGGGTAACAACAATAAAAGACATATTCCTAATGGAAAAACAAACATACTTCCTTAAGGCTACAAGAACCACAATTGGAAAAGAAATGGAAGAAATGGACACTGTAAGTTAACGTTTTAAATGTTCTTTTTCAAAAGTTCAATAAAATATAAGTAACAAAAAAACAAAAACAAACACAGGGTGTTTTTTTTTTCTGCTGTCATGCAGATTAATGATATGAAATTTAATGAATTAAATTCTTCCAAGAACAAAGTAAAATACCCAAAGACCTATTTTCTTGCCACCCTGTTTTGATCAAAGGTCATGAACAGACTCCTATGATGCAAACACACACGCAGATCAGCTTTAAGGTGATTAGGCGCCTAGATTCGGACCAGCCGGGTCACAGGGCCACACACAGACGGTGCTTGAGCTAAGTGTTTTGCAGCACATCTAATCAGCTTTTCCTTCACACCCACCCCTGTTCCAAAGCCCCGGACATGACCCCATCACACATGCTTTAACACGGACCCGAACGTGGCGTGAGGCCTCTTAAGTAGATCAGATGCTATGGATCTAAAACGCTGGGTGGTATGACCCCGCTCAGATAAGGACTGGTGGTGTGAAAGAGGTGAGTTATGTAGACATGAACTGGATACGGCTTCAGTTAGGAGGCTATTATAAAAGCCAGGAGTTACTGATATACATACTTTTATTGTTCCAAGTTCCTTTAAGGCTTGTTCTACACTCACCAGGTTGCTTTAATAGATACACATTTCCAGTTGCAGGTTCACAGATAACTTAACCAATAAAACAGCAGCAACTCTGTTCATTTTAGGATCTAGATGTGCATCAAAATAAGGAAAATTAGATCTAAGTGACTGAAGATGCAATGGTTGTTGGTACCACACAGGTTAGAATGAAATAGTGCTGAGCTGCTAGGATTTCCACACAGTTTGGAAGTTTTCAGCTGATAGAATAGCAACTTAGGGACGTGTTTCGGTGTAGCAGTGGTTAGCACACACAACCCATGTACGGAGGCCTTAATCCTCGATGTGGCTGGCATGGGTTCGAATCTGACCTGTGGTGCTTTGCCGAATGTCTCTCCCCTCCCCCTCCCTCAAAACCCCTTTCCTGTCAACCCACTGTAAAAAAAAAAAAAAAAAAAAAAAACCCAAAAAACAAAACAAAGAGAACAGCAACTTAAAGGAATAGTACACCCAAAACATGATTAGCCTTTATTTTCTACTCACCCCCATGCTGAACAACACTCTGGAGTACTTTTTTGATATCTCAAATGCATCTGGAGATCTGGGAGGCCTGCTTGCTGTCTGCTGACATTCAAATAATGGAGGTCTATGGCGCCCGAGGCAGAAAGGTCCATAAAAGACCACAAAAAACGTGTCAATATTCCTCCATACTGCTCGTCCAATGTATTCCAAATGTCCTGAGTGGGTAGCGTCCATAATTTACTCGAAACAAAGTCATTTAGAATGTTTTTAGAGCATAAACAGTAGTGTATAGGATTTCCTGAAAGCGCGCGCCTGCGAGTTCACGAGCCTACGGAAACTGCGGCAGACCAAGCCAGATGAAAGTGCGCATTCAGCGTCTGCTCTTGATAATGCAAGCATAGAAGAAGAAATTTGCTGTTTACCTGTGCAAAGAAAGAAACAACGAAAGAAAAATGTCCGAGGACTTCAGTGTTGAGTTCTTTGCCGAGCTGAATGCGCACTTTCATCTGGCTTGGTCTGCCGCGGTTTCCGTAGCGCCGTGAATGCGCTTTCAGGAAATCCTATACACTACTGTTTATGCTCTAAAAACATTCTAAATGACTTCGTTTCGAGTAAATTCTGGATGCTACCCACTCAGGACACTTGGAATACATTGGACGAGCAGTATGGAGGAATATTGACACGTTTTTTGTGGACTTTTATGGACCTTTCTGCCTCGGGCGCCATAGACCTCCATTATTTGAATGTCAGCAGACAGCAAGAAGCCTCCCAGATCTCCAGATGCATTTGAGATATCAAAAAAGTACTCCAGAGTGTTGTTCAGCATGAGGGTGAGTAGAAAATGAAGGCTAATCATGTTTTGGGTGTACTATTCCTTTAAATGTACACTTTTTAGAACCAAGTTATGCATCACAGCATGTCTGATCATCAGTATGTGAATACTTAGAAAAATGATTGATACCAGCAAAGATACCAGAGGCTGCAGCTCATTTAGAAATTCGGAAACTGAAAAAAAAAATGCTCCACAGGTCTGAATTTAAGCTGCAACATTCCCTGTTATTTGGTGTTAACAAACACGAACACATCCAGCCTCATTGGTGGTGTAATGACATGGTGCATAATCTTACCCAGTCCAGCGTTAGTATTTATGGTGTTTTTGGTAAAGTAACCGTTCAAAATAAAGAGGCTAACCACCGAAAACACACTGCTGGAGGGTGTCTGCAGTAGGGGTGTGCAAAATAATCATCATGACGATCCTTCGATAGTCATTTAAATAAATAAAGCTAATTATGAATTCCGTTGCTTTCAGTTAAGTATCAATTGAAGACACTATCCAGATCACACACAGCCAGTCAGCCACTGGTAATAGCTGTATTTCTTTCTTACAGTGTTCAGTGAAAATATCGCAATTCATCGCCATATTTCAAGTATCGTGATGCATAGTGATAGAATCGCATCGTGGCATGTGAATTGTGATTCGGATCGAATCGTGACTTCTTTGGCAATACCCACCCCTAGTCAGCAGGCCATACGTCTCTACACACTTTCAATTTCTTCAAAAAACATCTGGTCTGAGTAGAAGCTTTGTCTAAAGGCCACCAAATATGTGAGATCAGGTATTCGATGAGAGTATGTTCTGGAAATCCCGAGATAACAGCCGCTTTAATAAACACTGTTCTGTGAGTAAACATGAAACTGCTCTAACAAGCTAAAACGAGATCAGTTTCACTCCAGTGATCAAAACTTGCTTCATGTTTACATTGCATTTTGACCAATGTGTTTCCCCCAAAGAGGATGTTTACCAACCATGTCTCTGACTCATTCTGACCATTCCGATTGGAAGCAACATCATATGACCTTATGCCAAATCGGATCCAGTTTGTTTTGGGGGAAATGGTCCTATTTTTAACTCCTCTGGCTTCGATCATAGAGGTGGAGAAGTTATCGCTCTTCTTCTCATTTCTCTACATTCCTTCTTTTCCTTTAAAATTTACACTTTTAAAATTTTAATAAACTTTTAAACTTGTGACAGTGTACTGTCATTACACTGTCACAAGTACAGAGCAACAAAATAACCTCTCTGAATTTAACCCATCCCCTTGGAGAGCAGTGGGCTGCCATTGTGCGGCGTCTGGAGAGCAGTGTGGGGTTAAGGGCTTTGCTCAGGGACCCAGAGTGGCAGTCTGTGGGGGTGGGGCTTAAACTCAGAACCTCTGGGATCCAAGTACAATGCCCTAACCACTAGGCCTCCACTTCCCCCAATAATTGAACATTATTATTTCTCACACTGGAGAAATTTACCTCTGCGTTTAACCCATCCCCTTGGGGAGCAGTGGTTCTGCCATTGTGCAGCACACGGAGAGCAGTAAAAGGTAAAGGTCTTGCTCAGGGACCCAGAGTGCAGGCTGTGGGGATCGAATCAGGTACTTGCAACCTTCTCAGAGCACAAGCCCGCTGCTCTAACCACTAGGCCAACACTTCCATAAAGATGCAACTTCACTGTCAGGAGTGGGATTTGAACTCACGCCTCCTATTGGAGAATAGAATCCTCCAAGCTGGTAATAAGTTATAACTTGAGGCTTGCGCCTTCGGCTGCTTGGCCATCCTGACTCAAAGTTAAAGTAAAAAATATAATGGCCTAGTTCAGAAGCTTCATTTTCTAAGTCTAAATAAATGGTGTCTAATGTCCTGCAATTTTAAGAAGCATCTCTAGTCCGTCATATTTAAGTGACTTTAATAGCAGATTACCACAAATTGCAGAAGTTTAAAACATTGTGAGGATTGCAGCAGAAGATCTGTTGTTTGACTTAAATGAGAACCATTACCATTCAGGGTAGTGCTGATCTAGTGGGTTAAAGTAGTGCGCTTGTGATTTAAGAAGGTTGCAAGAACCTGGTTCCTTGGCAAAACCCCTAACCCAACGCTGCTTCCTGGGCGCCGCACAGTGGCAGCCCACTCCTCCACACGGGGATGGGTTAAATGCAGCGGTGAATTTCTCCAATGTGAGATTAGTTATCATTATTTCGTTTCTTTTTTGTTTTCCTCATGAAAATCTTGTTTCCCACCTGATAAATGTTTCCCTCCTTGTCAGACCAGCTGTCCATTAATAATGTACCTGGATGTTTCATCTTCTGTGTTTAAATCAACACAGCACTTTATTTTCCAAATATTTCTTTAAATACCTCACTAAAATGAGTTGCAAAAAGAAAAATAAGTATACGCAGTAAAAGTTTGGGATGACCGAGGTAAACTTTGGGATTCCTGCACTCCTGTAGGATTGAGATTTCATTTTGTGGTTTTCTATGTCTGTAAATGTTTTTTCAGAGTTCAGAGCCCTGAGCTAGAAGCTATGTTGTATGGAGATAGACCTCAGCAGGATCAGATGTCTTCATCAGCTTTGGACACTGTAAACACAACATCTCCGCTGTGTTCGGGTCTCTGCAGACGTTATCCAAGAGCTAATAGCTTCACTCAGAGTTGGACTCTGCAGAATAACGCTCATAATTCAGCCAGGCTCAAATTATTGAGATGGAATGAGGATAATGGGGAAAGGCCTCCAGGGTGAAAGTGATCATGTAAGAATCAGTAAGGGAATTCAGGTCTCGAAAGCCTCCAAGTTTCAGGGTTCAGAAGCTACCTGATCTGTTTACCGTGGAGCACTGATCACCTTTTGACTACTGGGTTCATCATTTTGTGTTGATTATCTGTGATGCCTCATTATGTCAGAGTGATGGAGGCCAATTAGTCAACCCTCTGAGGGAGCGTGTGCAATACTTGGTCTGCACACAGAGCTGGAAACATCTCCAGGTTTCTGTTCAGCTAATGTACGGCTCTAGGGTCCCATTTTTCCCAGTGATAACATTGAAACCTTGATGTTTTAGAGTCAAGCTGATGTTTTATATGTTTCTGACTGTAGGGAATGCCTGTAGAGCACGCCACCTTACCGGTGAGTATGTGGGTTTTTACTGAAGTGCAGTGGCGTTCACCTTACTGACATGTTTAACCCCTCAGTTTGGAGCTTCTCATAAATTCAACAGCATGAGAGAGAAATGAAGTGACGCATGTTTGCTTGAATACGCATTTGATGTGTTCTCATCTTTTTTTTTTTCCTGCTGCAGGAAAAAAAAAAAAAACAAGAGACAGTTTTTGGACATACTAGACTTAAGCTTAAAATAACTTGTTTGCTTTAATTTCCCTTACAAGGGATGTCGGTGAGTTATAAATCAATGAAAAGTGCGTTGATTTAATGAAGTCATTTAAAGCTAACATGGAGATTCATTAAACAGAGTGATATGTTAGTCAAGGGTTCATTTCATATGTTTCTATCAGTATCCAATAGTGTAAACTTTACTTATACTGATGAAGCTCAGCTATCTATACTAGATATGCATCAATCCCATACTTGGACCAGATATTGGCTCTGATATAGTCTAATTAGTTCGATCAGATGAATGATGCAGATCCAGTGTTCTCATCCAGTAATTTCTATTTATATTGCCATCACACTCCACAGTAGAGTTACAGAGATTGGTCACCTCAGTTCTGTGATTGCAACACTTATTATCTCATCCTGCAGAGCAGCGCACGGCAGTTAGTGATGATTTTTCTCTTTTCATTTCTTACCTTTTTTAACCAATTTTATTGTCGAGCATGATGCCTTTACTCACATAGCAAGGTAAACTGTTAATTCATTCAACATGAGAATTGGATCAGTATCAGATACCGGCCGAGATGCTCAGCCCATGTAACGGTATTGGATTGGATCAGAAAAAGATGGATCAGTGAATTTAGAATCTATGCTTGAGGACCTATCGAAAATAAAAATAAATCATTAATGAAAGCTTGTGCAATATTTAAATGTTTCCCCATCCTTACGTTCCTCTTCAAGGATTATCAACATGACCTTTCGTGCCACAGAACTCAATTAAACAAGCTGTGAGGCATTCATACTGATTGATGTAAGCATTTTAATATAGAAGTAACATGCAGTGGTGTGGGATGGATGCTTCTTGGCTAGAATACCTTTTCTAAAATGGGAGATTTTGGAGGGAAAACCTTTTCAGGGATCACCGAGATCTCCAGACCAATGATGATGACTGGTTTACCAGACTCCCTAGTGTTGTTCTTGGATCTATGTGCTAAACTAGGTTCAGTATTGGAGAGACCGACCCACCAGACCCCCGCCATCTCTGTTTAATACAGGTCTCAAACAAAGGAAGGACAGTGTTCACAACTAAAATGGAGGAAAGACAGGGAAGGTTAGCTGGATAATCAGCATTCTGGTATATATAAGCTTTGAGATACATTTACGAATTGTAGTTATATTTAGTATGGGCAAAACATCTGACCAGTATTTTTGTTTGTTTGTTGACTTTCATAAATGGCAACAGTGGGCAGGTTATCCCGATCATTGGTATTATTATTATTTTGTTGATCGATCAGAGGTGTAACCACTTTGCCCATCCTTGCAAATGGCTTTTTTTTTTACAGCATAAATTCTCATTCAGTTCTTGACCAGAATCAACAATGAACTGTGTTCCTAATGCAACTTTTAGGAATAAAATAATGTTTAGAAATTATCCATAAATTGACATACTGTACACAGCCAGCACAAAGGTCAATACTGCCTGCCATCTTGGATGGCACTGTTAATACGATCAGACTTTATCCGTGGTTTTTAAACTCGCGCCTCGGGACCAACTGTCCTGCATGTTTTATGTATGTGTCTGTCTCGTCAGAGCAGACTTGGATAAATGGTTGATTAACAGGCCCCTGCAGCCTGTAGTTGCTGCTGAGAAGGGGATACAATCATGATGGGTGTGCTGCGGCAGAGATGCATCCAAAATATGCTGGACAGTAGGTCTTATCGTGGGTCCTCAGGACAGAGTTTGAAAACCATTGGTCTATATCAGACCGTTTTTATTTATGCCTTCCGTTTATTTGTCACCCCACTATCAAACATACACTATATTGCCAAAAGTATTTGCTCACCCATCCAAATTATTGGAATCAGGTGTTCCAATCACTTCCATGGCCACAGGTGTATAAATTCAAGCACCTAGGCATGCAGACTGTTTTTACAAACATTTGTGAAAGAATGGGTCGCTCTCAGGAGCTCAGTGAATTCCAGCGTGGAACTGTGATAGGATGCCACCTGTGCAACAAATCCAGTCGTGAAATTTCCTCGCTCCTAAATATTCCACAGTCAACTGTCAGCTGTATTATAAGAAAATGGAAGTGTTTGGGAACGACAGCAACTCAGCCACGAAGTGGTAGGCCACGTAAACTGACGGAGCGGGGTCAGCGGATGCTGACGCGCATAGTGCGAAGAGGTCGCCAACTTTCTGCAGAGTCAATCACTACAGACCTCCAAACTTCATGTGGCCTTCAGATTAGCTCAAGAACAGTGCGCAGAGAGCTTCATGGAATGGGTTTCCATGGTCGAGCAGCTGCATCCAAGCCATACATCACCAAGTGCAATGCAAAGCGTCGGATGCGGTGGTGTAAAGCACGCCGCCACTGGACTCTAGAGCAGTGGAGACGCGTTCTCTGGAGTGACGAATCGCGCTTCTCCATCTGGCAATCTGATGGACGGGTCTGGGTTTGGCGGTTGCCAGGAGAACGGTACTTGTCTGACTGCATTGTGCCAAGTGTAAAGTTTGTTGGAGGGGGGATTATGGTGTGGGGTTGTTTTTCAGGAGCTGGGCTTGGCCCCTTAGTTCCAGTGAAAGGAACTCTGAATGCTTCAGCATACCAAGACATTTTGGACAATTCCATGCTCCCAACTTTGTGGGAACAGTTTGGAGCTGGCCCCTTCCTCTTCCAACATGACTGTGCACCAGTGCACAAAGCAAGGTCCATAAAGACATGGATGACAGAGTCTGGTGTGGATGAACTTGACTGGCCTGCACAGAGTCCTGACCTCAACCCGATAGAACACCTTTGGGATGAATTAGAGCGGAGACTGAGAGCCAGGCCTTCTCGTCCAACATCAGTGTGCGACCTCACAAATGCGCTTCTGGAAGAATAGTCAAAAATTCCCATAAACACACTCCTAAACCTTGTGGACAGCCTTCCCAGAAGAGTTGAAGCTGTTCTAGCTGCAAAGGGTGGACCGACGTCATATTGAACCCTATGGATTAGGAACGGGATGTCACTTAAGCTCATATGTGAGTCAAGGCAGGTGAGCAAATACTTTTGGCAATATAGTGTATTTACCTGATTCTCCACTCATTCACCATTTTTTTTCTTCTTTTTTCATTAACCTCCCTGTAGTTGTCATTGGTAACCACTGAATCGTTTCAATCAGCTAGCACATTTAAATAAAGGACATTCATGGTTGAATGCGGGATGAAGCTGATATGTCTTGAATGCACACGATTTATCATGGACATGTATTTATTTTGCATACTCAAGGTTTAATAGATCTAAAATGTCTTTTGCATACCCCACTTTGCCTTTTGGGTGTATGCATAGTTTTACTATAGATCTCTATACTATAGATTTGATACAGTGAACGAGACACCAGATGATTAAGAAGTGGCTAAAACAAGAAACGCAACAGTTGAAACCAGTGTCCTTGATACCCATCTTTATGGTGGCTCTAGAAGATTTGTCTGCAGTCACTAACATGTCAGTCAATTATAACATTTTTCTATTCCCAAAGCTTTATTTTAAACAGTTTTAACAGTTTAAAGAGAATAAAGAGAAATTGACAGTTGAAAAATCTAACTTTGTCAAATTAATCTATGTTTAGTCTCTTTCAGAAATATCTATTTGCATTTTACTTACTAAAACTAGACTTTTCCTTCCAATTTGTTGCAACTGAAACTGTAGTGTTTTTTTTTTTTCTTCTTGCGGCTAAGAGAAGGATCTACAGATCTGGACTAAATCAAATGTGAAAAAACTGAGATGAAACGAATGAGATACCTCTGTCTCTGAAAATACGTCCCCTTTTGGTGTCTGTCTGAGATTGTGAGGTAGAACTATTTGCTCGTAATCTGTTTGTGTGTTTAAAGCAGATATTTTTCTGGATATTTAGTTATATAAATGCAGAAATCATTCATGGTTCTGCAACATTTAAATCTGGAGCTGCTCTTCTTACTGTCATTCCCATCAGGAGAGTCCCATATTCAGTCTGTTTTAAAGCCACAAAACACATTTAGCTCCCGTAGCTGTTAGGTTTCATCCAGAACCTGCTCCCTCATTGCATATTTGGACCTGAAGAGGCCTGAAATCTGGTCTAATACACCAGTATCATGTTGTCTGCTGTAATCCAACCTCTCCTCTGTTGGCTGTTCTTCCTGGCCCTTACTTTTGGTACCATGTCGAATCTCATCTTGGAGCAGAGAAACTGTGTGTTATTGGAAATGCGACTTCCACTGGCGCTGGCCTGCTACCTCAACCTGTTTCTGTCATTAAAGCGGCTGGAATTTGTCTGCTTCTGTCAGACAGGAAATTCACTTAAAGCAAAGGTGCCTGGATTACATTAGTCTAAATTTCACAGGGGGTTCAGGTTGTTCTTTCTAATTTGTCTGAAGGATCTTTTTAATTCTGAAATATTGATAAAATTTGGTGAAACATCTAACGACCTACATGGAAGACTAAGGGAGAGGGCATTTGTTTTTACATATTGTATTAAATTAAAGCTTTATTCTTTTCTTTCATTTTATTGGGAAAACCATCTTTACACAAACTGACTGCATCTTCTTTGACTGAGAAAAGATTCCCTGAAAATTAGAAAACAGAAGACTACATTTTCTCAGAGTCAGAGTAGGTCTAGTTGCAAGAAAAGAAAATACTCCCATTAAAGTAAAGCTGTGTGAACATGGCTGAACAGTGTTTTCTGCTTATCTGTTCCTTAATGGGGGGAAATTTCACGAAAACTAAAAATGTGCTGCTTATTTCTGTAGTAGGTACCAAAATATCTTGAGAACTATAATAGCC